TCTTCCAGAACCTCTCTATAAAATGGATTTATCTAAAGTGAGGTGTTTGGTTTTTTTGTTTTTGTTTTTGTTTTTTTTTTTGTTTTTTGGTTTTTCGAGACAGGGTTTCTCTGTGTAGCTTTGCGCCTTTCCTGGAACTCACTTGGTAGCCCAGGCTGGCCTTGAACCCACAGAGATCCGCCTGGCTCTGCCTCCCAAGTGCTGGGATTAAAGGCGTGCGCCACCACCGCCCGGCTCTGAAGCCTATTTTATTTGACAGTTTATTTTTCAGTTTTTGGTGTGTTGATTTTAGATTTTTGTCTATTTTTTTTAAAATTTACATCTATATTTGCATGCCTGCTTGTATGTATGTATACCATATGCCACTCTTCTGGTCCAGACTCAGGCATGCTACTGAGACCCTCTCTCCTCTGCACTTACCCATCACACCTCCTCCTTCCTGCCCTGCAGGATGTCCCCAACTTCCAATTTCTCTGCCCTGGGTCTACACCCCCAAACACTGGAGCACTAAAGAGCTCAGTAGAGCAGACTGGCTACTACTTCTGGCTCTGTTTCTTCTTCTTCTTCTTCTTCTTCTTCTTCTTCTTCTTCTTCTTCTTCTTCTTCTTCTTCTTCTTCTCCTCCTCCTCCTCCTCCTCCTTCTTTATCATCATCATATTTTCTTCTTAAGATTTTACTTATTTATATCGTGTGTGTGTGTGTGTGTGTGTGTGTGTGTGTGTGTGTGTGTTCTGCCTGCGTGCATATCTGTATATCCTGTGCATACAGTGCTCGCAGAGACCACAGAGGGGATTGGATTCTCTGGAACTGAAGTTACATACGGTTGTGAGCTGACGTGTAGGTGCTGGGAACTGAACCCAGGTCCTCCAGAAAAGTAGCCAGTACCCTTAACCACTGGGCCATCTCTCCAGCGCCGGGCTGGTCCTTCTTTAAAAAGGCCTGTCTGATATACACTGCATCTGTGCTCTGAACATTTTTCTCTGCCTCCACTGGATCTCTCAGGAGACCAGTGTCAACCACTGAGCTCTGGCTGGACCCTTATTATACTCAGAGCACAGGGTAAAGGGAAAAGAAGCCACACTATGAAAATCCTTCACTTTAGATGACATCTGTGTGTCCATCCTGTCACTCGAGCTAAAATCCTGGCCATGGTGTCATCGGACTTAGGTCACCCTGCTCCTGTCTAACTATTCAGCATACTCTGCTGATTTTTACCTTCTAATAACTCTGGTTCACCCCTTTGCCCAGATGTGACCTCCTCAGGGCCTCCTCTCTTTATTCTAAAACCACAAATTGACCTCCCAGGACTGGTTTGATATCTGTGCAAGGTGGGTGTGTGTGTCTGCCTGCTCTCAGCCCCTGTTTACAGACCCGCCCTCTCTCCTTCCCCTCCCCCTATGCCCCGGCCACCCCTTTAGCACTTATCTGCACATAACACCAGACGTATTTTGATGACCTTGAGCACACTGTTCTCTACATAGTCCCCCCCCCCCCCCCCCCCCCCCCCCCCCTGTCTAGAGAGCATTCATCTCCTTGATGGCCACGCTTCTGGTTTTCACACAAACTTCCCTTGTTGCTCTGGGTCCTGGTGCTTTGTAGTGGCTGTGTATCCTCCAGACACTCTGCTGTGGTAAAATGTCACAGTAATGGATCCCGGTGCTTCATGGGGTAATAGCATCCCTGCCCCCCCCCCCCCCCCCCCCCCCCGCGGTACTTTCTACGTTGCTGTGTATCCCCACGGCCTGACAGTGTCGCCCCATAGCCAAGTGCTTTATATTTTTAGCTCCCCCGTTTACCCATTGTGTGATCTGGGACTTATTGCTTGATTCCTCTGCAGACCAGTTTCGCCACCTACCTTGAACAAGCAGTGAATGAATCACTACACGAACTGTTCTTGCTCAGACAGGGCCTGGTACAAAGATGGAGCTTGATAAACATGAGCTATTTTTTAAAAAAATTTTTCTTGCCACACGCTCTCTCCTGCATTCAACGCTCGAGCTCCTTGGGGACAGGGACTTCACCAAGCTGTCAGGGCCCAGCACAGTACCTGCTTGGCTAAGTAACTGGTTCTGTAACAGGCGTCTGGCCTGAGCCAAGTGGGCGCTGCAGCCGAACTCCAGGGTCAGCTCGAGGGCGTCAGACAGCTGGTGACAGCGGCGAGGAGGACCGGCATCCCAGATCACAGGCAGCCGAGAACTTGAGCTCTGTCAACAGAGCTCCGAGTTCACCACTCGCCCGTTGCGCCCTCTCACTGTGGTCCAGTTTTCTTACCAATGTACTGGAAGACCAAAAACCCCGCCCATCACTTGGAGACACTTAAATAAGATAATGTCAGTCAAGTATGTGTAGCAAAGGGCATTCCTTCCTGACTTCTAAGTTCTTCCATCTGGAGGTGAAATAGAGAGCGGGTGCCGAGGATATGGCTGACTCGGTGGATCGCTTGTCTAGCATGCATGAAGAATCTGGGTTCAGTTCCCAGCTCTCCATAACCCAGGCATGGTGACTCACGCCTATAATCACAGCATTCAGGAGGTGGAGGCAGAAAGGTTAGAGGTTCAAGGTCAGCATCAGCTATATGGTGAGTTTGAGACCAGCCTGACCACCTGAGTCACTATAATAATTTAATTAATTAATATTAATATTAATAGTGAACCAGAGAGAGAAGGCAGCCAGGACCGACATGAAACCTTTACCATGCACAGACTCCAGGCTTCCTGCAAACCCAGGACGGTAAAGCTTCTCCAAGGACAGACGCTGGCCCTGGAGATGGGGGACACTTCAGACAGGAGGAGGACAGGGCTGCGGCCTGTGTTTGGAAAGCAGGAAGCCAGCCAGTTGGGCTGCAGCCATGTCCTCTTCAGTGGCTGTTGTGTGAACACAAACGGGAAGAGGGGCGGGGTGGCGGCAAAGCCGCTGAACTCAGCGATAAGGAACAGCAGTAACCAGAACAACCACGAGCACGGCCTGTGTGTTTACTACGAGCCAGGTCTTCACGTGATCAGACTCGTTTCCCTCCCAGCCATGAGAAATAGCCTTTAATTGTCACCCACACGGAGCTGAGGCCCAGGAAGACTAGATGTCTCTCCCCGTCACTCCTGGTGACTGGCAGATCCCCCGCCTTGGCCATTGCAACGTGGCTTCCCACATCTCTACCCTGGGTGTGTCCTGAGCCAGGACGGCGGCTCCATGAGCCATATAGGGAGCAGGAGGCAGGCCTGGTGGTCCTGAGTTCCAATCCTTCTGCCGCAGTTGTAAGGCTTTGTATGCGACGTCATATCTAAACCCTTCTTCCCTCACCTGCGACCTGGGAGTGAAAGGCCCCGCCTCCAGCCCTGGTCTGAGAGGCAGGTTCTCTGATCCTCACATAACTTGCCTCACAGACGCTAATACGTAGAAATGGTGACTGTGACCAGCCCTTACACTGGCTGCCCAGCTCTGCAGGGCCCAAGGGAGGTTAGCCCAGCCTTGGACACTGAAGTGAGAGTGTCTAGAACAGGACGCCTTTGAGGGAAGGTGTGAGAAGAGGAATGCCTCTCTACGCAGTCTTGCATAGACTTAACTACACCTCCAACCCCAGTTCCTCTTTTGTAAAGCCACAGCTCCACTAGGTCATGGTCCTGCCTCATTATTAGCTCACTGAACCATAGTTACCTCCTAGAAATCCTGTTTCCAGAGACAGTCCCTCTGCAGGTAGGGATTCAACACATGAAGGGGTTCATGAGGCACTGTTGTGGGGGCGGGGAGGCAGCGCTCTTCTGTTTGCCTGCATTTCCAGCAGAGGGTCCTCACCAGGCCATGCATCATTGAGATGGGGGAGATTGCTCAAGTCTATGAGTTCAAGACCAGCCTAGGCAACTTAGCAAGACCTCCATCTCAAAATGTGTGTGTGTGTGTGGGGCGGGGGAGGGAATAAAATCATGAGCTCACACCAAAACACCAAGTTGAGCTTCAGTTACCTTGAAGAAGGACTGCTGCAGCTATTCAGGCTGCCCCTCCACTCTGCCCCAAAGCCACTGTGGTCCTCCACTCTGCCCCAAAGCCTCTGTGGTCCTGCCCCTCCACTCTGGGCCAAAGCTGCTGTGCTCACTGGGAAGATCACGTGGGGGATGGAACCTGCAGGGGTCCGCTCCTCACCGGAAGTGAATGGTTTAATAACAGGCTCTTGGGGCGTGGTTCTGCTGTAGTTGATTTTCACAGTACAAACACTCCTGCTGTGGTCTATATGGTCACCACTGTCCTGTCACTGAATGCTAAGCAGGTAAGAGAGTCACGCTATTGGCCATTGTGAGTCTATCCCAGCAGGTTCCAATATGTCGCTGCTCTGAACTTTCCCCTGCTAGGATAGACTCAAATTCCACTTGATTACACTAAAACACCCATCCAGAACGATGTGAGTCCAGGGCCCCCAAGGATGTTCTTGACCCTTAAGATTTCACCATTTTCTCATGCCTCCCCCATAGGTTTTTTATCATCAAAGAAAGCTTTCTGCTTTACTATTCTGAGAGTGAAAAGAAGAGCTTTGAAACCAATAAATACTTCAATATCCATCCCAAGGTAAGGAGGCGCCTTTCCAGGGCCACAGCGAGGGAGGGCCCACTGGGGACGTTTGGGAATGGCAGGGAACTATCTGTTGCCTTGATGTGGCTTAGAATCTAGAGAACAAATCCTCTCAGGGCTCAAGACACCCCCTGTAACTTCTGCACTGAGTCCCCCCACTCCATACACACACACCTCCTTAGCCACAGAGTCCGCCCCAGCTCTTCTTCCTTCTGGGAATCCGTCTTAGTCTTGATGTCATAGCCCTGGGATGTGGTCCAGCCTGAGGTCCTTGGCAAGCCCTCGGCTTTCTCCAGGAGCCTCCTGGGACTCTTAAGTGATGTGAGCTGAGTGGGGTGGGAGCTGCCTGCTCTGTTTCTTCCTCAGGGTGTCATCCCACTGGGCGGCTGCCTGGTGGAGGCCAGAGAAGAACCCAGCATGCCCTACGCCATGAAGATCTCGCATCAGGACTTCCACGTGAGTGAGGACCTTCCCCGAGCCCAGGGTCCACAGGGCTAAGCATCTTCGTCTTGATCCCCTGGGAACAGCCCTGTGCAGTCTAGCCTGAGAGGACTGTCAGGGCCCAGGCCTGTTGGGGGTGGGGAGAAGAGAAGAAATGGCCTCCCCTTCCTTTGGAGTGGACACCTCTCACTCTGGCTCCTCTTCCCGGCAGGGAAATGTCTTGTTGGCTGCTGAGTCTGAGTTTGAGCAGACACAATGGCTCGAGATGCTGCAGGAGTCTGGGAAGGTGTAAGTGTCTGCCAGCAGGGCCTCTGAGGGGCCAGGATGAGAGCGGATGGGCCAGGCTGGCCCTGCCCACCTGCCTGTCTGCTGGGTCCTGAGACGGGTCCGTGGAAGCTGGCCAGGGTGTGTGGGAAGAGATAGCTCAAGCTGTAGAGCGTCTGTGAGGGTGCCCTAAGTGGTGAGCTTGGGAAGGTGTCTGCAATTATAGGTGGTAGATGTGGACACCAGTGGCCTCCAATTCTTGGGACTTAGTCAATCACCACTCCTCATATTCAGAACCTCAGTGCATCCATCTTGCCTTCCCAGACCTGTAATTAACCCTAGTGAGGACCAGAGATGGTGTTTGCAAATCACAGAGACCACCTGACCAACACAGCCTGTGCCCATGCTTCTAACCCAACCAATAACACCGAGTACCCAGCCTGGAGCCAGGTGGTGGGCATGCAGTGTGTAGAAGGCTACAAGGGAAGCATCCCCCCTGTCCTCTGTGAGCGCTCTTGGCTCCGTCCCTGTGGCCCGCTTTGCAATCTCAGCCTCCAGTTACTGTAACTGATCAATGCTGGTGGCGTGCCCAGAGCCCTGGGTGCCAGACTGAGCTGGGATTCAGCGGGGCGGAGGAGGGGCTAGCACAGAGAATGTACAATCTCCTTCTCCCTGGGCCTTGCTCCTGGTTTAACGGTTTGTATTTCCCCTCCCCTCTCTCCCATCTGCCTTCCCTTCCCCAGGACCTGGAAAAACGCCCAGCTAGGAGAAGCTATGATCAAAAGCCTGGAGGCACAGGGGTTACAGCTGGCGAAGGAAAAGCAGGAATATTTAGGTTAGTTACGAGGTGAACTGGAATCTGAAGTTTCCCGATGGCGGCACTTGGGGACCAGAGTGAGAGATGGAGAGGGACTGGGTGGGAGTGGTACCGGAGGTCTCTCTGGGGCTTGGAAGGGAGCTTGACACCTAGAGCTCTTGATGATGTGATAAACATCTTTTTGATCAGAGAGCTAGAGTCAGGAGAGACAAGCGGCAGAGTGCTTGGCTTTAGACACGGCCCTGTCACCTACCTCGCTGATGTGTGGATCTGTAGGACATGCAGTCTCTATAAGCCTCAGTTTCCTGCTCCTTAAAGACAAGATGGAAATGGTCCCTGGTGTTAGAGGTGGGGTGGAGATCAGCTTAAAGGGAAAATCCCTGGGTGTGTGTAAGTGTAATGGGTCGGACCTTCAGTTGAAGGATCTAAAAATGGAAAAACACTATCCTGCCTGAGTCCCAGGTCCTGTGCCCTTCCTCTCCATCCCTCACCAAACCCACTTTAAACCCAGCTGCAAGGCCCCAGGCCCCATGCTCTAACTGTCTGCTAAATGCCCCCAGTTGGGAGATGATGAGAATGGGTCGATCCTCTTCCTGGAAACCCTGCTGAGACAGCTCAGGCCCTGGCCCGTCTCTGCCTGCTCTAAGCAGCCCTCCCTTCCCTGGAAAGTGCCCTCTCCGACTAACCAGGCACTAGTGGGGGCAGGGGAGACTGCAGAGACCCACCTGAGCCTCCATGGTCAAGTCCCCTGAGGACCTAAGGATGCACGGAACAGGGCAGAAGACCGAAAGGGCAGCTTGGGCCAGGGAGGCAGCTTCAGTTCAGCAGAACAGGAGGACCCCACCCCTGCGTAGGAGTGCAGACCTCTTCCCCGGGAGATGGCAGAGGTGACAGAGACCACCCAAGGCCCCTGCCCTCAGGACCCCTGGGCTGTTTTCAGTGACCGTGTGCTTGCCTTGGCAGACAAGCTGATGGAGGAGACGGAGGAACTGTGCCTTCAGAGGGAGCAGAGAGAGGTAAGCACATAGTGTGAGTGTGCAGAAAGACTCAACTCCCCCTCATGGCTGGCGTTAGGGCAGCATTTCTTTCTTTCTTTTTTTGAATTCAGGTTTGTTTGTTTGTTTGTTTGTTTATTTATTTATTTATTTATTATTTAATGCTGAATGCTGTTCATTGAAGGAGGGAAGAGGTCTTAAATACAAGCTTACAGCACAATGGGAGAACCCCAGAAGGCAGAAGTTCCCTACTGATGTTTTACAATCTTGCTTCTAAGCTGTTAATGTCCATTATGCAGGATACATTTAAGCATTCAGGAGGATGGAACCCTGCAGGGAATTAGCATAGGGAGGATATCAAGGTCAAGGTCAGCAAGCAAGGCAACCATTACCCAAAATGGGGGCCAGGGCCCTACAGGTCCCCCTTTTACTAAAAAATGAGCTTCTGACTTAGGTTGCATGGGACGTCAGCAGGTCAAGGGCAGCATTTCTTAACCTGTGGGTCATGACCCCTTTGGGGAGTTGTTGATTTTACAGGGGTCGCCTAAGACCATTGGATAACACAGAGATTTACATTGTGATCCATAACACTAGCAAAATTACAGTTATGAAGTAGCAACAAAAATAATGTTGTGGTTGGGGGGTGTCCCCAGAACACGAGGAACTGTAATAATGGGTCTCAGCATTAGGAAGGTTGAGAACCACTGCATTAGGAGATAGCACTGGTGTGTGTGTGTGTGTGTGGAGTGGGGGGAAGTGGTGCTAGGCATCCGGAGACTTGCTTGAGAGACCTCAGACAGGATGGAGCAGTGAGGCCACCAGATGACGGTGTCTTTACCTTGGTGGGAAGCATATTTCTCTTGTGAACCCTCAGGAAAGGAATGAGTGAGGAGCAGGTCTTAGAGACAAAGCCATCTAAACATTTCATAAACATCTCGCAACATCTCGCTGGTATCCACAGGAGGTTGTAATGGCCTTAGTTTTGGTGGGGTACTGGCGCGGGGGGGGGGGCTTCTGGTACATAAGAGTGATGGGGTTTGAGAACCTCCGAGATCATTGGAATCTGCTCCATTCCCACACCTGAAGGGCAGGGCATGTGGCAAGCAGAGGGAAGCCTGGAGCCAACCTCCTGTGGTTGTATTTGACCTTAGCCCTTCTAACTGGACGGTCCCTGACAAGTTACTTAACCTCTCTGCATGTCAATATTCTCATCCAAGAACCTGAGGAAAATAATAAAACCCGACTTCTTGGGGCTGTTGTAATGGTTAAGCAGGGCGTTATATCGAAAGCGTCTGACACACTGTGTGTACAGGGTGTGCTCAGTGACCAGCTGTTCTTCTTAGCATTAGGCTCATGTTATTGCTAATTATGGGCCACTCCTGCCTGGGTGAGGCCTGGCATTGCAAAGTGGTGCTCAGAGGAGCCTACATCGAGGAGACTGACCCAAGCCACTTCCTTCACCCTGGTCCCTTTTCATTGTCCTCGTTCAGGCCAGCCACAGGGCTGAGGCCATCAGCTGTAGCTCAGTGCCTGGCTGTGACTCAGCTCAGGAATTCAGCTCCTTCCCCGCCACCCCTCAAGGGACTCTAAAAGGTGCCCTAAAGTCAAGAAACACAAGTCTCCTTTGAACCCCAAGCCCCCCAAGTCCTGTGACAGCACCCAGCCTCAGAGGAGAGCATGGTAATGTGGAAAGAATCAAGACTGGGCTGACCTGACTCTTGCAACTTTACATTGTGGCTTAATTTCAAACCACCATGACAGTCGCTTTCATTCTTCTTCCAAAATTTCACCCTCTGTGCCCACTTATTCTTCCAAATAGACTTTAGAGTCTTTTCAATGATTACAAATAAAAGAAAAACAAGATTGAAGATTTTAATGTGGAGATATGAAGTTGAAAGTAGGGTTTTGTGTCTTTAAAAAGTATTTTATGTGTATGGGCACTTTGTCTGCATGGATGTCTGGTGTGCCTGGTGTCCAGGAAGTCAGGTGAGGGAGAAGGAGCCTGAACTGGCCTCACCATAGTGCCTTGCCTCTCTTCCCCCAGAGCAAACCCTAAGGCCCGTACACTCTCATCTAAATCCCATTAGAGTTTGGGCCTCTTCTCCATAGCATCCTAAGCATTTGGAATGAGACTTTGATATATTGTCAGAAACTTTAAGGACAGATGATTTGGGAGGCCCAGCATAGGATGGAGTGGGAGACACAGCCCCCAATGGAGAGAGGAGACTTAGCCAACAGAGGTTGAATCTGGGGCAGAAATTGGCCCAAGGAAAATTTAGACACACTATCTAGGTCTTGGCTTGGAAATGAGGGCAGCGGAGACCCAGGGCACACAGGCCTCGCTTCATGCCACAGCACTGAAGTGGGACGCTGGCAGCTACAGAGTACGAGGAAGGTGCAAGCCCAGATGTCGATGTGGTGGGGATTCCTGGAGCAGGCAGCAGGAGGGGAACCACACCAGGCTCAAGCTCCCTGTCAGTGATGTGCTCTCGCCCAGAAACAGCCCAGATTCTGCTCCTGGTCTGGCCACACTGAGTCACTGTGCCTGTTCTTCCTTAGTTAGCTTACCCATAGGATAGGTAGACTTGTCCCCAATATCTTCCCCTCCTATTCTAGATCAGAGATTGGCAGAGGGGTTTGGGGCCACATAGAAAGAATTCTGTATCCCAGAGACAAGATGGCTCTTCTGATGATGTATGAGGTTTCTAGGGGATAGCCTAACCCAGAGGGAGCCTCGGAGACTGCAGCCAGGAGACCTGGCAGAGTCTCAGCTTCAACACTCACGGTGTGAATGTCGTCTGATTCCTCTGGACTTCGTGTTCTTCATCTCTAATGCTTAATAAAAGTAACAGCTGCTCTGCATTCTCCTGGGTTGCTGAGAAGCTAAATGGACTAGAATTCAGGGAAATGTGCCATGGGAGGGTGTGGCCATGTACCTGTAGCCATGGCATTTTCCACATGTCAGAGAAAGCCTGGAACCCCTAGCCTAAGTGTTTTTAGCCAAGAATGCATAGAGAACTGCCTGGGCATATCTTCCAGGGTCATCAGGCTTCACTCTTTTTATTTATTTATTTACTTATTTATTTCTTCATTTTTTTTGGGGGGGGGGTTCTCTCAAGACAGGGTTTCTTTGTGTAGCCCTGGCCATCCTGGAGCTCACTCTGTAGACCAAGCTGGCCTTGAACTCACAGAGATCTGCCTGCCTCTGCTCCCAAGTGTTGGGATTAAAGGAGTGTGCCACCACCACCCAGCAGGCTTTACTGTTAGTGTAGCACATTCTGTAGATTTTGATATAAATATAAAATGCCACTAATTCACCATTGTGATATCACAGAGAATAGTTTCACTGCCTTAAGAATTCTGTGTTCCCTCTGTTTGTCTCTCCCACCACTAACCCCAGCAACCACTGATCTTCTGACTGTCTCCAAAGGCTTGCTCTTTCCGGAGGGTCATGGAGTTGGGGTCATGCACCATGTAGGCTTTTCAGATCACCGTCTTTCACTTAGTAAGGTACACTGAAACATCCACTGTGCCTTTGTATGGCTTGACCACTGGTTCCTTTTCAGAGTTGAATAAATTTGTTATCTGGGTATATACCTATTTTCTCATTGAAGGACCGACCCTCTGGGTTGTTCCAGGTTTCAGCAATTATGAATGGAGCCATTATAAACAATCATAGATAGTTTTTTTGTGTATGGACAGATACTGTCAGTTCACTTGAATAAATAACAAGGAATGTTATATATTTTAGACTTAGGTCTCTATATTTAATTTGGTGGGGGAGTTCTCTTGGAATCACCTTCGACTCACGTCACTCAGAAATATATTGTTTAATCTCCAATCACTTTGTGCGTTTTCTTGCTATTGTTTTGATATGAGTTTCTAGTATATTTTCATTACTGATTAAGAGCAAATGTTATACGGTTTTTAGTCTTTTAAATTTGTTAAGGAGTATCTCCTCCTGTGGAGTCCAGGCTCTCTCGATGAACGTTCCATGGGAGCTTGGGAATAACGTGGAATATGCCATAAACGATGTGGTTTGTCAATCCTAGAAGTTTGATCTACCATGACAAAGTCAGGCCAAGTGGTTTCAACGAGAGCAATCTATTTCTCAGAGTTCTGAAGACTAGAAAATGAAAGATCAAGTTGTCAAAAAGACAAGTTTCATTCTGAGGTCTCTCCCATAGACAGCTGCCAGTTGATGGTGTACTCTACGTCCCGCCTTGTCCACACATGGGACGACATGAAAAGCACGCTCTCTGGTGTATTTGGAAGTTTCTCTTGGCAGAGACATTCTTTATTCTTTCAGAGTGTGGCTTTGTTATTTTGTTTTGTGTTTTTGTTTGCTTGCTTGCTTTGTGGGGCAGAGTGACATGTAGTTTAAGCCAGCCTTGAACTCCTGATCATCTCTGTTTCCTGTGTCCACCTCCTGAGTTCCGGGATTACAAGAGCACACCATCACACCTGGCCATTGTCTAATTAATTGTCTTGTGTTTTGAATCTTGCATTTGGGGTGTGTGTATGTGTGTGTGTATGTGTGTGTGCATATGTATGAAATTCCCATCTCCTCACATATATTAATCATCTATTTTTACATATCTATTGAACTCAAGACCTCTAGAAGAGCAGCCAGTGCTCTTAACCGCTGAGCCATCTCTCCAGCCTACATATCTATTTTTTTCTATTAAAGTCTTTAGCACACAACCCACAGTTGGGTTTGTTTTTAATTTTTAACTCCTGGTCTGATCATTTTAACAGTCCTGCTATCTGACTCTGGTTCTGATAATCTCTTTAAACTGTATATTATACTTTATTTTGAGAAAAGGTCTCTCTATGTAGCCTTGGGTAGCCTGGAACTCACTATGTAGACCAGACTAGCCTCCAACTCCCAGGGATCCACCTGCCTCTCTGTCTTCCGAGCGCTGAGATTAAAAGCCTGACCTGGATGGCACTTGATAAGCACTTACTAATGGCAAGCAGTTTGCATGAATGAACTTGTACGACCCTCCTGGTAACTCTACAAGACCGTGCTTCCTCGTTTCGGGCAGGGCTTCAACTGCCCCTCCCCTCTCTGGTCTAGGTCTTAAGAAATGATTTCAAGTGTTGGGATTAAAGGCGTGTGCCACCACCGCCCGGCCACCTGGGAGGCAGAGGCAGGTGGATCTCTATGAGTTGGAGGCCAGCCTGGGCTACAGAGCGAGATCCAGGAAAGGTGCAAAACTACACAGAGAAACCCTGTCTCGAGGAAAAAAAAAGAAATGATTTCAAGAGAACTCCCCAACCAAATTAAATATTGAGATCTAAGTCTAAAAAAAACAACAACATATATATATATATATATATATATATATTTCCTTGTTACTTATTCAAGTGAACTGACAGTGTCTGTCCATGCACAACAAACTATCTACGTGTGTTTATAATGGCTCCATTCATAATTGTTGAAACCTGGAACAACCCAGAGGGTCGGTCCTTCAATGAGAAAATAGGTACATACCTATTTTGTTCAGGAAGAACAACAACAAAAGATCCTCGCCTAAGCCTGCGGTCCTGCATGGCCTACAGTGTTTCCCTTGTCAGCTTCCCTGCATCTCCGGCCCCAGCCTCTCGCCCATCCTATTTGCTCTCATGTTTCATACGGGCCTGGCTTGGTTCTTCCAGGCAGCATGCTTCCACAGAGGCTTTGTATGTACTATTCCTTCCATCTGGGATGTTCTTTCCTCTTGTACTTAACTAGGCAAGGCACTGAGCTAAATCTCCAACCCATTTATCTACCCAGCTTTGTCTCTCAGCTCAAGAATCAACTGATTGCCCCTCTTCCCACCTCCGTGGAGTTTTCTATTCTACTTACCTCCAGGACAGCTTGACCTGGAACTGGGTCCCTGTCCTGCAGGACTTGCATCTTGTTTTGTAGTACTCTCCGAGATACCGGATTATTTTAGTAATACTGGATTCCTACATTTGATCTGAAATCCTGGTCTGGGTTTCTTAGTAGCTACACTACACCATAGGCTCTGTAAGAACATCTTCAGATGCCCCATGCAGAGCCCAGCAGGTGCTTGGAACATAGGATGCACTTGGTAAATAGATGTAGCATGAATGAATAGAACTATGAGAAAAAAAAATCTCACTGGGCTATTTCCTGGAATTGCATTGAGCCTGTCAATTACTTGCAAAGAATCCTCCCTGTATTAAGGCTTCCTGATCAGGAGCTCCTGTGGCTGCATTCTCTTCATGGGTATAATTAGTTTTATTGAGGACCAGAAAGCATGGTCTGTGAAGCATGGCAAACAAGATGTGTTTAGCTTGGAGGACAGGAATCTTGGGAACAGAATTTTTTTTTTTTTTAAATACTTGAAGGGAAAAGAAATTAGTCCTATTTGATGGCTCAAGGAGAAGCTAGATTTGGTGAGGGAGGCTGGGGGGTGGAGGGGGAGGCAGATTTGGGCTGAAATGGAACTGGTGGACAACATAGGCTGCTTGCTTCTCCAACTAGAGCAACCTGGAGTGACCAGGTGCCGGCCGCTGCTCTTGGCCCTGCGGGTCTGCGGTTTGGCTTGGACTATATATGCTAGCTCCTGTTTTGTGGACTGGGTCCCACAGGACTCAGAGACTTAGAGAGAGCCTGGAAAGAGAGTGTGACAAAGGCCAGGAGTGAGGCGGCTGCTGAAGGGAGAGAACATTTGAGCAAGGCCAGAGGTGGTGGCTCGAGAGACTGGGAGAGGAGCAGTGTTGTGGCATGAATGAGGTGAGCCATGCTGTTGGTTCCCTGTGGAGATTTCCACAGAACCTTTCATCGTTCACCAATGCTTTTGTATCTGTGGCCTTTAGAGAAGGGGTGGGGGTGGGGCCAGGCAGGGCTGGCAGAGGGCGGGCCTTTCTCTAGGTTCTTCAAAGCTGAAACCGATTTCCTGACTTTCTACCGTGAGATATTCAAGCCAGCCTTGACCACCTGTTGGCAGAAAATCATCAGGGGATTCAAGCATCCCGTGAAGACTGAACTTCCTTTAAAGTTGCTTTGGTGCAGGATGGCTCTGGTTCATGGCACCCATTCTGCTGGCCCCTTGAGGCAGCAGCACATGCTTCCCTGGGCAGAGCTAGTCATTGACACAAGCAGAAACAATCTTACCACATATGCTTGGGACCTCTGAGTGGAGAAGAAAGGCCGATGGCTGGGTTGTGTTTGTTGTCCTGTTGTGTTCAAAGTTACTTTTCTCTTTAATGTTCTTAGAGACACTGCCTAGCATCTGCTAGTGTCCTGAGGTGCTTGGGCACTAGGGAGGGAAGGTCTGAGTTTCAGACCCTGACTGACAGTTCGACAGAAGCTATTCCACTGTGATAACGAGTGAAGGGAGGCGGCTGTAAGCTGCAGGGCTAGGGACCTCTCCGGGGAGCTGGAGTGCGTGAGGCTGGAGGGTGGAGTCCTCTACTGAGTCCTGGGTGATCATTTCTGAAACAGCAGAAGCCCTGGGACCTGTGAGAGCCACTATGGAGCTCAGGTGCTTCTGGCTAGTGGGTTCTGTGGGCCTCTCAACAGCCCTTGCATAACTGGCAAACACCACCAGAGGAGAATCGGTCAAGTGTGTGGACTCTGCGGCCAGAGAGGCTCTCGGCACCAGCAGTGCCATGTGTATTAAAGCAGAGAGTTTCATGTTTCTTTTTTAACATTGTTATTTATTATTATTATTATTATTATTATTATTATTATTATTATTTGAGACAGAGTTTCTCTGTGTAGCTCTGGCTGTCCTGGAACTCGCTCTGTAGACCAGGCTGGCCTCAAACTCACAGAGATCCGCCTGGCTCTGCCTCCCGAGTACTGGGATTAAAGGTGCGTGCCACCACCACCCAGCCTCATATTTCTTTTTTTAATGTCTGACATTTTTTTCAGTTGTAAGGGGAGGGGGGATATGTGCAAGAATAAATTTAATTTATATCTTATTAATATAAGACGTGTCAAATATAGATATGGCTAGATCATGGCTTCTACAGCAACCAAAAACCCCCATATGTCCATGGCTTTTAACAGCACGAATGTGTTTTCTCAGCTACTTGGGCTGGCGGGAGCTTGGTTTCATGTGTCCTCATTCCTGGGGGTCCAGGCTAAGGGGACCCCTATCTATGCCAGGGGAAAGGAACCATAGCCCACCACACACCATCTTTTCAAAAGATATCTGTCCTCCTGCTCACATTCCGTCAGCCTCAGCTGCTCCCATGAGCCCCACTACCCATAGCCAGTGTACTGGAGCCGTGCATGTGCCCAGGAGCATCAATCAGAACGCCAGGGAGCACCCCGGGTGGGGGCAACATTTAGCAAACAGAGGCAGTTTGTAGCCATGTGCCAACAAGGATTTGATGAGAAGGAAGTAACTTAACTTGGGTAAGAAACTTGGGCGTGCGGATTAAAATGAGACTCTCCCCTGTATCTATTTTATTCCCTCTCTGCATCTCTTCAAAGCCAGTGGTAACAGCGCCCTCCATAGGCAGTGCCATTCCCTACCAAGGATGCCATTATGCTTGAGAAGAAAGCCCCTAGGTGACTAGATTGTAATTTAGAACCGGAAAGTGAGAAAGCAGATGCAGAAACAATATGCTCCCACAGCATAAAATGTGGAAAACAAACAAACAAAAACCGCGAGCTAAACTTCATGAACTGGATCCCTAATGCCACCTGCTACAGATCCAGGGAAGATAGGATCCCTAGCCTAGAGGCTCCAACCTGGTGGGGGAAACATTGAGGCTGGCCAGCTCCCTGAAGGGACCTGTCCTGGGCTTTCCGACACTCCTATTCCGGTAGGTCTGAGGAGAGGGAAGCTGCCCGTCCCCAGAGATAAAGAAAACCTTATTCTCTGACTCTTGGGTTGGAAATAGCTTCGCTTTGCCACTATACCCGATGCCATTCTGTGTCCTGGAAATACACACTCCACGGGGTTGTTTTGTTTTTGTTCCATGCTTGAGGAACAACCCCTTCACGTTGGGGTGTTAGACCCTAGTGTTGCCCAGCGGAACCACATCCAGGTTTACGGTCCTATCTGTCAGAGGACCCTTGTTGGGATCATTGCTAACCGTCTTCATGGGCCAGCTTCATCACATTTTTGCGTTAGTTGAGACCACATGCCACTGAATGGCTCCTTGGGATTTACAAGTTTGCCCTTATGCCCTAAACTGAGCCAAATTCTCGAGTGTCCCCTGGGCTAGCGAGAGGAGGAATCGTCCTGAGCCTAGGGGCCCTGCGCCTCCTGTGACTTTCCTCTTCTCTGGTTCTCTTCAGGAGCTTGAACGTCTGAACCAGGTGCTGGAGGCCGAGAAGCAGCAGTTTGAGGAGGTGGTGCAAGAGCTGAGGGTGGAGCAAGAGCAGATCAAGAGGTGACGTGGGCCTGGGGGCGGGCCTGGG